AGCATATGAATCTCAACGGCTGCCTTTGTGTTTCGGGTCATGGACGGGGACTTTTGAAATTGACATGGGAGAACCCAAGTAATTTAAACCAGTCTATTAGTCTACATGATTAAAATTTAAATTTACTGTTTTATTTTAACAATGAATTCATTCAAAATAGATGTATAAGAAATCTCTGTCTAATTAGTTGATCATACGAGGGACATCAGTGCTAGTTGGAAATGTGGGCTTCGCTCGATATGCAGTTAAACTTTCCCAGATTTCAAACTACCGTTGATGCCCTGGCATACTCTTATAACTACACATTATTTATTTTACTATTCCTTGATGTATATGTTTACAATTTACTATTATATTATGTATGTGTATATATTAAAGTACATGTATTAAATAATCTCTTTACTAATTTTTTTCTTTACAATATAATCAATTTTGTTTTCAAAGAAGCATAAAGGCTTATGCCTAGGTCACATATAAATTTTCTTGTCTCGTCCGCTGAAAGAACATGATCGGTCTACACGAGTTTCGGGCAACACGGAGCAGTCACATTTTTCCTAGCTAGGAACACGGCTGATGAATTGGATAAAGAACATAAAATCATTTTTCATAGAATTCAGCAATATTTTTCAAAGATCTGTATGCAGAAAGGTGACATGAGTAATGTTTGCAGGGCAATGTGGCAGAATTTTGTACGATTCTGACTCAATGTTGAAAATGTGTGCAAAATTTTGTTTAAAATTGCATAAAAACGACAAAGGGCGTATCTCTAAGCAGCAAAGAAAACTTTAGGTCTATTTATATCTTACGGGTTGTGAATTTTACTATTTATGTGCAAAAAAATATATATAAATCCATGCAGAAAAAAATTGTTTGTGTAATTAAAAGCCTTAGTATTCACGAGGCGGTAAATCGTCGCCCGATCATCCAACTCTAGACAACAGTTTAATTTTAAAAGTCGGTCGAAATTTTAGACATCCTAATAGAAATCGGCCCCACGTAGAAAAAAGAATAACTTGGACGGATGTACACAAATCTGGTCGGCCGACAAAACAGAGGTCAAAATCGGCCGTAGAGATAGAGAGTGCACAATGGATTATTATGACATTTTGATAGCCATAAAGGTAGGGGATACTTAATGTGGAAGTCATGACAATCTCATAGTCATAGAGATAGTGGGTAGAATGGAGAACTCATTAAAACTTCATGACCATAGAGATAAGGTGTACAAAAAGTAAGTTGTGACAACTTCATAACTTCATAAAAATGGGGGGCGGGAGAATGGAAAACTCATAACAACTTCATGGCAATCGTGATAGGGAGTGCAGAATGAGGACGTCATGACAAATTCAGAGCCAGAGAGAAAAAAGGTGAGAGAGAGACAGAGAGAGAGAGAGAGAGAGAGAGAGAGAGAGAGAGAGAGAATACAGAATGGGAAAGTCTTGACTATTTCTTACCGTGCAGATAGGGGGCAGAATGGAGAATTCATAAGAATTTCATGACCAGAGAAATAAGGGGTACAACAGGAAGGAGATGACAATTTCATAACCATATAGATATGTGGCAGAATGGAGAACTCATTAGAACTTCATAGCCATAGAGATAGGGGTACAGAATGGGGAAGTCATGACAACTTCACAGCATCACTTTTCCGTAGAGATATGGGGAAAGGACAACTTCATAGACATAGAGATAGAGAGTGTTAAATGGGGAATCATGACAACTTTATAACCATAGTGATAGGGGGCAGAATGGGGATCTTTTAACAACTTCATGTCCATAGGGATAAGGGGTACAAAAGGGAATTCATGACAGCTTCATAGTAACTGCGATAAGGGCAAAATGAAGAATACAACTTCATGGTCATAGAGATAGGGAGTGCAAAGTGGAGATGTCATGTCAACTTTATGGCCGTAGAGATTGGGACAGAACGGGCAAGTCAAGGGAACGTCAGAGTGATGAGGGGAGGGGGTGCAGAGTGGAGAACTCATTTCAACTTATTTTCCATAGAGATAGAGAGTGCAGTATGGAGAGGCCATGAAAACATCATAGCCATGAAGATAGGGGGCAGAATGGTGAACTCATTACAACTTCAAGGTGATAAAAATAGAGAGTGCAAAATGTCGAACGTCATGACAACTTCATAGTCTTAGAAAAATTGGGGGGGGGGGGGGGCTGAACTCATTGCAACTTCATGGTCATAAAGACAGAGAGTGGGGAATCATGTTATCCCCACTCACTCCATAGCCATAAACATAGGGGCAGAATGGGGAAGTCATGACAACTTCATAGCCATAAACATAGATGAAGAATGGGGATGTCCTGACAACTTTATAGACATAGAAATAGGGGGCAGAATGCATGGTGAAATCATTACAACTTCATAGCCATAAACATAGGAGCAGAATGGGGAAATCATGACAACTTCATAGTCATCGAGATAGGGAGTACAGAATTGGGAAGCCATTGGTTCTCTATAAGCATAAGAGAAAAAACGAAAAAATAGATAAACATATGCAAATTTTCCAATTTCATTACATGCACAAAAATAGATCTTGAAAAAAGACCTTCCATACAATATTGAGTTACCGACTAAACTTAAATATACACAAAACCTTGATCAACAACCTGATATAGCAAAATTTCATACTCCATTTATATCCGTGTCATTTTGTTTGTTCTTAATTGCAGTTTCCGGAACGTTTTTTGCTTATATCAATTTGGAAGGAAGTCACAAGCTGATTTTATACAAGATTATCTGTCAAAAGTCAGTCTTTATTGAAAGAAACAAAATAAAACTTCCCAAAAATAAGAATTAAAAAATTGCTGGATAGAATTTTGATAGTTACAGTCATGGCAGGTGTTGATCAAGATTTAAGGATGTACAACACACCTACCCCCAAAAATTCCTGTCGTTTAATTTTCGTTATTTTTATATATTCAGTACATGACTATATCTACTGCATGTATGCATATTTTTGACAAAATCGTTCGAGTGGTTTTTGGACAGGAACTTCCGAAAGTTACCCCCCTTTAGTTGTTTACAAGGAGAGAAAATTTTTAATCAAAGAACTACTTAAACTTTGATTTTCAAAAAACCTGATTAGATATCAATGTCAAATTTTATTGACTTATTCCTTAAACCTTTTAACACAAAAACATTGTCATCTTTTTGATATACATATCATCAAAACAATTTTTAAAGACCTTAAACTGAAAAACTATGAATTTCCTAAGCCTTGAAAATTGCGTATTTTTAAATTCAAATTTTTTTTGTGAAAAAACCTGTCGTTTAATTTTTCTAAAAAACTTCCTTTAGGTAGCTGGTAGTAAAAATAATCTTTATAAGTTTTTGTATAATTTTTGTTCGACCAGTTTTAATTTAATAGCGGAAAATTACCCCTCCCCCTTTCTCAATAAATCACGTTCCCGCGCGTCTTTCAGACAGGGGGTCGATCACTTTGTTATATGAATCTTCTAATCCATATTAAAAAAATAAAATTGAAATATTGCTTTTGCTTCAAAAGTATATTAACTTACAAATTTAAAAGTTCTCATATGAAAAGCGTATTTAAATGTAGATTTTTAGGCAAATTTTGAATACCCCTATCACCCCCACCCCTTCCTTTTTTGCGTCGCAGACCATTAGCGTTAGACAAAACGTCGTTTACAGTGCAAATATACCGGTATTTTGTCAAGAATCCCGGAGGTATGCATTAGTTTTTAAATTCATGATTACAGAATAAATACTACTCTTTTTATATGTATCAGGAAAAAATTTATGAAAGACTTAAGTGTTTAGACCATATACGTATGGATAATGCATTCCATATCACATGAAACCTGGATACGAATTCAAGTTTTGTTGAATTTGATTTGAATTTGAATTTTTAATTTTATTTCTTTAAATTTATTCATTATAAAAATGGTGTATGTTCAACTCTTCTGTGATATAAATGGAAAAATTGTAGTTTCTTTCATGTCATTATTTCAAACGAGACAGTATGTGGCCGTGGGGATACATCGACATTTGCATTAGATCATAGATGTACATACCGGGTACACCCCTCGTGATTGTACACATTTCTTTCAATGTCTTCGCTTCTAAAATTAAAATGAAAATTTCGTATTCATCCACATTAACTTCAAAATATCAAACATTAAACTCTTCATCTATTTCAATTTATATCAAATCCCACATTGATGTTTTTCAAAATCTTATAAGCTACGTTTGTTTTGATTCGAGGAAATGCGAACCGACATTGTTGACAGAAAGTTAAAGTTACGATTTGCTGCAATAGGATATTCATAAATGAAGATTTCATTACAAGTGAACAATTCTTTTCAATTAATTCTATTACTTACATTGTGTATATGAGGTCTATAGTATTCAATTGTCGGATTTATCAGAGGTCTTGCTGTAAATGTATCTGATTCTGTGGAAAACCGTGAAAAAAAGGGAGGAAAATAAACATCTCCTATATTTTCAGAGTTGTTCCTCTTTGATCAGTAAAGGTCTGAGACCAACATCGATTTTACATAGTAAAAAGTTTATTGTTTCTTTATTGTTGTTTTATATAATTAAAGAAGGAAAACAATTTATATATCGTGTATGCACAAATTGTAATGAAGACCATTAATCTGAATATTATCAAGCCAATTGTATATAATGAGAATTTCGGCAATGTAGAATAAAAAAAATGCTGCGCTTTGATCAAAAATACAATTCATTGTATATGAAATGAAATAAACATTAAGGGATTGAATTTCATATCTTGCTTTTTACGGAGTTTAATCGGGTTAATTAAAAAAAAATACTTATTGATTGAGTATGGTACGCACAATTACAGCCAAGACCCACATCCCAATTTCTTTCATGACTGATATACATCGGGATCGTTTTATTCGTCGCTTTGACGCTTTATTTTTGACGTTAAACTTGACGTCAAGTCAAACGTTCAATTGAAATTGCAAGAGTTATCTCCCCCAGTGTGTTGTACGTCTTTAAAGCAGGCATTGAGCAAGGTAGGTTACAATGAAAAATGTCGATCTTTCTCAGTTTCCTTATTCTAACCGAATGGTTTGCGTTTTGGGATAGATTTTCCATAACGGAGACGCATTTTACTGGCCAAATAGTGAATCTTTCAGCTTACCTGAACTGAAAGCTCTAATGAGATTTTCTGAATAGGTATATTTCGTCGACTGTCCGTATGTCTGTTCGATAAATTTTTTCGCGAAGTAATCTAAAACGATGCTAGGTCATCGAATTACTCAGTATAAAATTACAAAAATGTATTATTTTGTATATAAAAATATTTCTTGAAACAAAAATGAAGCTTATCTTGAAAACGTCTGTATATTCAAAGATATCAAGTGTTAAATAGCGGATTATTTTCTATAACGAATAAACAATGAGTGAAGCGTCGCAGCCGCAAAAGTTTCTATACAGAGATTTCACGCTTTCCTTTGCGTATGAATCTCAGGTAACTTTTTACAGTCGCCGACAAAGCGTCCTTGGACGAGTCCACTGCAGTTTCTGAAAGGTGACGCAGGCTACCCCATCGTTAAAAAATTCTACAATGCATGGCCAGAAAATGTATGGCTGTAAGACCCCCCCCCCCCCACTGAATTTGCTTTTCACGGGCCTGCAAATGATGTGTTATTTGAGAGCCAGTAACATAAAAGCACAAAATCAATGTTAAATTCTCGTTTTAAGCTTTGGTAACGGACATTATATACTTTTTTCGGTCGTACCGAATATGCATTGGACATGTCGCTCAGATAGATGAACCCCACCGTCTCAAGCCGCGGTCCGCAGTAGGAGAGGATCGTACATTTTTTCCGTGGTTTGCAACGATGGATGAACCCGTAGTCACGTGGATGTTTTAGAGCCTGGACCCCCCTTTCACTTTGAAAAACTTTTCTTCAGGCTTTTATTAGCAAGCTATCTTAATTGATGTATGTATTGAATGAGATGTACGTCACTTAGCAAAAAATACAAAAACGTATATAGTTTGAAGTACATGTATACTAAATGTCTACATAAAAAATATTTCATTAAGAAACAGAAACGTTACTATGCTCTATAAAATATTCCTGGAAGTGTGTCACGTAAATTCATCTTCAAAAGTAATTAAGTACGATTAATAATGTTTTTTTCTAATAAAATTCAATATATGAATGTATACAGTCATGTAGTTTATTCAACAGAGGATTAACACAAAATGTATAGCCTTAGTAGCCTCATCTTAAAACTATTTTAGGATATAATGATACATTGTACTTCTTAATTGACTTTCTACAGCTTGAGTATTTCTGACGTTTTGTCAGTATATACTTGTTTTCGCAAAAGTCGTAGGAGTTTTATGTTGATCTAAATCAGTATCTAATAACATTTCTTATTGGATAGAAAAGAAGATCATTAAAGATTTTGAACAACTAGTAAGCAAAAGAGGTTGAAGTTTAATCAATGAATTCATATTTTGTGATGTCGGCACGTCCAGTCATTACAGGTAGAGCAAGATGCTGAAAACCATATTGGTAAATAGATCACACCCTTGATAAACTATTTGCCTTCAGTTGCTAAGATTGTGTTGTATTATATGGACAATTTCTATAATCCTGTTTATTACAGATACATGTACAATGCATATTTTCCCTGTAATAATAAAAATTCTTCTGAGATGTAAAAGAATCGATTTAATAGTCACCGATTTTAAAAGATATTACATGTACTGTATCTCATTAATTTGGTTTGGAAATCACACTTTGTTGAAGAAAACGAATTATTCAATTTGAGTGTATTCGATTAAGACAAGTCATACTAATCCTTACTTGTTGAACTCTAGAAATCAAAATGAAAATGTTGTTGTACAGTGTTTATGTAAATATGGCGAATAAAACTGTACACGTCGTCTCTTTCAGAGCAGGTGTTTGAATACATTTGTATCCCGGAATTGTGTTGCAGATCTGTGTTCAATGAAGGAAATTAGTATTTCAGCAGACAATATCACAACTGGGTTATCAATATTAAAGAATGCATTTTGAAAATGTATTGTACTTGGAATTACTTTTTTGAACAGGACAAACAAATGATTAAAATGACTTTATTTATCAACCAAAAAATAACAGATAATTCCGAACAAAACCTCATACAAGTATACGATGAGAAACTGATGCGTTTTGGATGAAAATGGCGTGGTTGCCGACCTGGCACCATTATGCCTAGGTCACATTTCCCGGCCGGTAGCCGTAAACCGGTGGAAATCGGTAGTAATCAGTGGTGTTAACGATGCCCCAACATCGGTCCACATCGGCGAAGTAGTCCTGAAAGTATCAGTCACATTATCCAGCGATGGGCAACCAATGCGTTTAATGAGAAAAATGGTGTGGTTGCCGGCCGGACTTACAAAGGCCAAGCGATGCACTGCTAATCATAAAACGATGTCCAAGGTTAACTGGCCGATGTATATTACATCGCTCATAATATGTTGAACAAAGTTTGTACATCGGCCGACTACGGGCCAATGTTTGGTCGAACATCGACCGATGATCGGTTGTTATCTGTTGAACACCTTTAAACTCCCCGATGACCTCAGATTCAACGGATATTGGACGATGCTCGGCCATACATCGGCGGATCCTTGAAAGATGTGTTAATGATGGGTAGCCGATGAGTAGCGATGTGAGGCATCGTTGGAGACATTGCTGAATTTTAACTACGAATTATTTCTTACCGATGACCCCACCGATTCGCAAAAAGACTCAGTCACCGTCCGATCACTAGTGTTGCCCGGCCGGCAACCACGCCATTTTCATCAAAAAACGCATCGGTTCCTCATTGTATACCCCATCATGGATAACGTGACTTATACTTTAGTGATCGGACGGTGACTGAGGCCATTTTGCGAATCGGTGGGGTCATCGGTAGGAAATAATTCGTAGTTAAAATTCAGCGATGTCTCCAACCTTGCCTCACATCGCTCCTCATCGGCAACATATCATTAACACATCTTTCACGGATCGGCTGATGTATGGCCGAGCATCATCCAATATCCGTTGAATATGATGTCATCGGGGGGTTGAGTGGTGTTCAACAGATAACGGCCGATCATCGGTCGATGTACGACCAAACATTGGCCCGTAGTCCACCAATGTTCAAACGAGGTTCACCAATGTATGAGCGATGTAATCAACATCGGCTGATTATTCTGGAACATCGTTTTATAATTAGCAATTCTTCGCTGGGCCTTTGAACATCCGGCCGGCAACCACGCCATTTTCATCATAAAAGGAATTGGTTGCCCATCGAATACCCATCGCTGGATAATGTGACTGATTCTGTAAGGACTACTAAGCCGATGTGGACCGATGTTAGGGCATCGTTTACACCACGGATTACCACCGATTACCATCGGTCTACGGCTATCGACCGGGAAATGTGACTTAGGCATAACCTGATCGACATGGATCTCGTGAATCCGAGTGCAATATAATGAGGATTTTTTACTGTTGAGTGAGCAAATGATTAACCACCGAACATGTATCTCTGCTGGTGGACAATTAGTCCCCGAGGATACTTGTCGTTCGGTACTTATTCATGCATGAGTACACATAATAACGAAACGATACTGGCAGGCGCGTCGCCAGGTATAAAAAGGCGTCACTCCTTTGAGTCTATAAGGGACACAGACTCAAGGAGTTCATTTGGTGCCCCTCGGATTATCCTCAGGGATATTAAACATATGTCATATGTACAATGTTCAGATTCCCAGTTTTGGGAACCAAGACATCATATACCAAATTGAAAGAGTGTAAAGTTTCTATTAGAAGGATATGGAAATAACGAACAGTATTCAATCTCAACGTCCATTAAACGTCCATATTACTAATATATTGGATAATTCCTTTTCCGATCCAATGCCTTCGGTTTCAAAATGTTCTGTGCGAAACTGTAAAACCTGTTACATTTTGAATACTGACACTTCTTTCACCAGTAATCTTACTGGACAGAGCTTCTATACCAAATTTGGGAAAATCTGAACTGCAAATCTTCTAATGTTGTCTATGGAATAGAATGTAATCTGTGTGGACTTATTTATGTCGGTGAAACCAAGGGATCGCTTAAGTATCAGTCACATTATCCAGCGATGGATATACGATGTGCAACCAATGCGTTTTATGATAAAAATAGCGTGGTTGCCGGCCGGTCTTACAAAGGCCCAACGATGCATTGCTAATCAAAAAACGATGTTCCAGGATAATCGGCCGATGTATATTACATCGCTCACACATTGGTGAACATCGTTCGTACTTCGGTCGAGTTCGGGCCAATGTTTGGTCGAACATCGACCGATGATCGGTCGATTATCCTGGAACATCGTTTTATGATTAGCAATGCATCGCTGGGCCTTTGTAAGTCCGGCTGGTAACCACGTCATTTTTCTCATAAAACGCATTGGTTGCCCATCGTATGCACATCGCTGGATAATGTGACTGATACTTTAACAAAAGAATATCAGGTCGTCAATTTCAATTAAATCATGGTGGTCAGCAGCTTTTATATAAACATTCACCTGATCATTCTATTCTATCAATGAAAGTTAGAATTCTGGAAAAGATTTATCACCACACAAATAGTCCGTCGTTGAGTACACCTTTCCGTAGACAAAATGAAGAATTTTGGATTAGGAAACTAGGGACAGCCTTTCCCTATGGATGTAATGGCAATGTCGATAGTGTTGGAAATATGACAAGCCCACAGTGTAATAATGTAAATGTGATGGGACTTTTTAATAATTCTCAGAGACGTAAGCGTAGTCATGGACATCGTTCGTATAATAAACCTGCAATACACGATGTCTCTTTTGATTCATGACTACTTTATGTAAATCAACAGTTAGGTCTACATCATATTCGAACCAAACTTTACTCTGTCCCTTTGAAACTTTTAAATAGTCTTCTTGAAAATACCAAGGAACATCCCAGTTTAGATTCCTCGACACCTGAATATAGGCTCGGTTCTGTGATTATGGATATTGCACATCATAGGCTTTTTAAACCCGCAAGTTTCACGGAAGAAAATGCAGCTAAAACAATTCATCTTTTCCTTAAACTTCAATATGCCAATAAAGGAATTGACGCGGTTAATAAAAGTAATATTATCAATCACAAAAGGGTCCAGTCTTGTATTCCACCATATTTCAAGTTAAAGACTACGCCTTGTATTTCCTACAAATATACATCGACCATTGCTTCCAAACTTTTCAATTACAAAAACACTTTACATGGCCTGGATATCGACTATCTGAAAAATAATCCCCTTTCGTGTTCATGTTTTTCTTCGCCCTATAACTATAGTCCTGCTGGACACGTTATTACAGGTGACGTAAAAATAGTTCGTAATGAGGACCTTAGATCACTTATTTTAAAAGGTCCTAAATATAGGGAACCCCGATCCTTCAACTGGCGTCGGAATTTCATAAATATTATGGATTCTGTTGAAAATTACGCCAGACGATGTGCTAGATATGAAAAAGAAGACATTGACACCTTGTCAGAATGGATTAAATGTATCAGATCCATGTTAAAGTCACGTATTAAAAGATTGAGGGGCAAAATGAAAACCATCTATCCTTCTGTGTTCAATAAACCAGAAGTGAAAAAAGAATTAGATAGATTACACGATCAGAACGTACTGGTTCCTGTCGACAAAGCAGATAACAAAATTGTCTTCGTTTGTAAGGCTCATTATATAAATTGCATTCTAGAAGAACTTGGATTTAATTCTACAAGTGGTAATCCTACTTATACATATACTTTTCTTTCTAAGGAAGAAATTCTTCAAAATCACTTGTCGTTTTGAATACTTTTTAATATTCCACAGAGCCAAAATGAATTTGAACTACCTTATATTATTATATTGGATTCCGAAACTTCATAAGAATCCTTACAAACAAAGATACACTGCAGGTTCCAGTAAATGTTCAACCAAGCCTCTTTCGTTACTTCTCACTAAAATATTGACAGTAGTGAAGGAAAAACTTCAAGAGTACTGTACAACTATATATTCAAGAAGTGGTGTAAATCAGATGTGGATACTTAAAAATTCTAAAGAACTTTTGGACAATTTGAAATCACAAGACTTTACAAAAATCAACAGCATAAAAACTTACGACTTTTCAACTTTATACACAACAATTCCCCACGACAAATTAAAATCCAGGCTTTTTGATATCATTGACAGCTGCTTCTTCAACAAAAATGGAACTCGTAAGTCGTAAGTTTACTTACCTCGTCATTGGTCATTTGAAAAATTATTTTGTTAAAACAGATTCTGATGGCACACATAAGTACTCTGAAGTTGTCATCAAGAAGATGCTTGAGTTTCTGATTGACAATATCTATGTGGTTTTTGGAGACCAGGTATTCCAACAATCTGTTGGAATTCCCATGGGAACAAATTGCGCTCCGTTATTAGCAGACTTATTTTTATATTCATATGAAGCAGAATTTATGCAAAATCTTTTACGTGATAAGAAGAAAACACTTGCTGTGGCCTTCAACTCGACATTTAGATATATCGACGACGCATTGTCAATTAATAATGGTTATTTCCATTCCTACGTCCATACGATATATCCTGGTGAGCTTGCGATAAAAGATAACACAGATTCCGACACTTCTGTTTCTGACTTGGATATTTTATTTGAAAAAGACACTAATGGTAATCTTACAACGAAGCTATATGATAAACGTGATGACTTTAACTTTTCTATCATCAACTTCCCTTACTTTGCAGCAATATACCTTCATCAGCTGCATACGGAGTTTATCTATCTCAGTTGATTTGATACGCAAGAGCATACTCTACGTATGATCAATTTCTTAAACGAGGTAAATTATTGACAAGCAAGTTGATGAAACAAGAATATCAACAGTCTTGTTTAAAGTCATCATTTCGTAAATTCTATGGTCGATACAATGGTCTTGTTATCATTGAATGAAATGCTGACTGACGTTTTTCATACCAATTGTTAGTCCATTATTTATACACTGAATTAACCACGGATTTTTTCTGTTATTTCCTGATTATGACAACGAGCACACGGCAGGTGTGAACGTTCGGCAGGGGATGCTCACTCCTCCATGGCACCTGATCCCACCTCTGATGTTTCGGAGGTCCGTGTTTGCTCTGCTCTTATTTTGTATATTTGTTTAATGGACGTTGAGATTGAATACTGTTCGTTATTTCCATATCCTTCATTACATGACTTCTGAAATGCATATCTCAATAAAAGTAAAATAGGATAATTCTTTCGACATGTGCACATCCTTAGGCCTGTAACGAAGGCAGTTTTCATGTAAATGTTTTTATCACTGCGTTCGGTGCGTTTTCTTGACCTTCAAGCGTGCATATCAAAGCGGATTTTGATGTACATGAATACATTCCGTTTTAGTGTTTTTTCTCGCAGAAAATGCATCCGAAAATAATTTACTTCTCAGTATCATTCTAGTTTTTCCTGGATTTATACTAGGAACGTAGTAAGTCATTCGAAGATAAAAAAGATGTCTTTTGAGAGTTCATGTTTGTTTTAACATACCCGGTATTAAATGAACCTTTGTCATTGCATTTTTTGGATCTTTATGATACTGCAATATAAGATGATTAAATTCAAACATGTTTCTATTGTAATTAATCAATGCAGTTTTTCTATTCGCAATGAAGATTAAAAAATGTTTAAAATTGTACATGTAAAATATGTATTGGAAACAGAAAATAAACTCACAGTCAATAGAAACGCAACACCGTGATTTTAGGGCGATAATTATAAACGGGATATAACTATGTACCAAAAAAGTTAGGGCATCTTTTACTTTGCTAAATCGGTTATTTAACGGTTGATTGATTTTCGTTCCATTACCGGAAGTTGCTTTTAGCCCTCTTATAACATAGATTTTAAAACATTATATATATAACTTTTTTTCATGTTTTATAGTACAAGTATGCAGACATAGTAAATAGAGATGTAACATATGTCATGAATTGGTTTAAAGATCTCCAACCATCACAAGAGTGTTTTAGTAAGTTCATTTTTTTATTCCTTATATCAAATAAAGAACAAGGTAAAGATTCAATACAGATTTTGGTCCTCTATTTCTATAAATTATAATTTATTCTTAATTTCTAAATAATTGAAATTCCATGAAGCAAAAACCAAAAAATCGTGCTTATTATACGACCTCTCAAATATTTATTGTGATGTCATGAACCAGTGCTTTTGCCCCTTTTTCTTAAAAAAAGTTGCAGAGTACATCATTTTTCGGTTGAATTCTCTTTCTGAAAACAAACGGCACATGTTTCACCGACAAATATTTTTTGTATGTATTTACAATTTACTATTAAATACAATACATACAAAAATTGAAGTTATCCACGGCTGTGGAGACTTAAGGAAAAACACAGAAATGTGTCATTTTGACTTTTTTCTTCATAAAACTTATGAATGTACCATTAAAACTTTTGATGAATGTGCCATATTAATGACGTTATATTAATTTCAGGAATGGTCATTCAATACGTTCTATTTCCACAATTGAAGAGTTATAGTTCTTAGTACACTCTTTTGTGAAAAAGTCGGAGAATGTACAAATCTCGCGGAATTTCTAGGACAAACGTAACATAAACATGTAAACAAAATGTTGAATGCCGATGAACAAATACTAACAAAATGGATCTGAAATATTTTATTGTTGTGGACTTTATTTAAATCAATAGTAGAGATGACAAGGAAATTAATTTACATCTATTGGTGATCGTATGTATCTATTTATCGTAACGGTACATTTAAAGACAATTAATACACATATCTCGGAAATGTCGTATTTTTTTTTTATTAATTGACGATAAAGTTATGGTTTTCGCTCTCTTTCATATGCGTTTTATTTTTTTATTCTTTGGTTAGAATGACAAATGCACTAAAACATTTAAAATTGGATTGAGACTGGCGTGATTTGTATTATCCGCAATGCCATGCTGTCCCAGCCAGACAACCAAACGCGCCTCTAATTCTAAAGAGTTCACTAAATACAACGTATTTTTTTTTTTTTTTATAAATTATCATATTCGTGTATTCAACTCATATTAAATTAAAATTCATACTTTTTTAAGTACATAAATTTTTTAGGGCACAAAGCAGACCAAACTGTACCATCTTCTTTACAGTATTATATCGGACTGCAAACATTATATTTTTCGATGATTGGATATAAAGATAAAGGATTCAGTTTTCAATATAAAATAATCGATACTTTACCTGTTTAACCATATTGGTGATAGTTTTGATATTAACTATATTGCAGTTTTCCATGATGGCACAAGAAAAAAGCTGCTTAATTTGAATGGAACGATTCCTGTCCAACACAAAGGTAGAGATTATCCTGTAAATTAAAGTCTTGCGATGGGTGCCGGATCAATATGTTTGGATTTTTTTTTCTAATTCTTACCCACAAATTTACACTCTCTCAAACTAAAATGTATAGGGTTGACCACAAGACCCGGGGCCAGGGATTTTCCCAGACTCTATAGATGTTATATTCACTGGTTATTCTGGTATTCACCCTCAACTACTAGTGAGGAGGGAGAATAATACCCCCTTCTTTCTATTTTATGTCCTCTGCTATTTCATAGGGACAATCCTGCAAATGAATTGAGCACAGTAGAGATATTAGATAAAACAATATACCAACAAAATTACATCCTCATAAATGATAACAATATGTTATCTGCAAATGATAGCCTTTCGGAACAATGATTATTCCAAGAAAAATGTGTTTCGTGTCATATATATTAGGTATTCAAGGTTCTCCACAAGGGGTTTTACCATGGCGGTCCGCCATGGTTAAATTTTTGTGCGCCATGGTTAAATTTAACATATTATGGAACGCCGTCACTGCCTTGTAGCAGAACACAACAATTGCACTGCGTCAACCTTCCATTTCATTATGTCAATTCTTTATGACATTTACTCACACATCTATTATATTGTGTCAACTTTCTATTACATTATGTCAACTTTACATGATATTAACTCATACTACTATAGCATTGTGTGAACTTTCTTTTACATTATGTCAACTCTTTATGACATTTACTCACACTACTATTGCATTGTGTGAACTTTCCTTTACATAATGTCAACTCCATATGACAGTTACTCATACCACTATTACATTGTGTCAACCTTCGGTTTCATTATGTCAACTCTTTATGACATTTACTCCCACTATTATTTTTTTGTGTCAACCATCCATTATATTATGTCAACTCTTTATGACATTAACCCACACTACTACTGCATTGTGTCAACCTTCCATTACATTATATCAACTCTTTATGACATTAACTCACACTACTACTGCATTGTGTGAACTTTCCTTTACATAAAGTCAACTCTATATGACATTTACTCACACTACTATTACATTGTGTCAACCTTCGGTTCCATTATGTCAACTCTTTACGACATTTACTCACACTATTATTATTCCATTGTGTCAACCTTCCATTTCATTATGTCAACTCTTTATGACATTTACTCACACTTCTATTGCGTTGTGTCAACCTTCCATTATATTACGTCAACTCTTTATGACATTTACTCACACTACTACTGCATTGTGTCAACCTTCCATTATATTGTGTCAATTCTTTATGATATTATCCCACACTACTACTGCATTGTGTCAACCTTCCATTATATTGTGTCCATTCTTTATGATATTATCCCACACTACTACTGCATTGTGTCAACCTTCCTTTCCATTATTTCAACACTTTATGACATTTACACACTCTTGCATTTCGTTATGCTTACTGTTCAAGACATTTAATTAAACAACAATTACATTGTGTTAACCTATCATTACATTATGTCAATTCTTTATGATATTAACTCAAAGTACTACATTATGTCGATTCACTATTACGTTATGCGAACACGGGTATCCTCGGCCTTTATATGAGCATAACGTATTTTCCGCGTTCCGCAAGCACTAAAATTGGCGGGAGAGAAAATTGTCGCAGAAGAAATCTCAGCGATTTGGGAATGGCATCTTTAAATAAAAATTTTAAGCGACAAAGGATTGACAATCTTGAAACGTGCAAAGCCTTAACACTGCGTATGTGAATTAAAGTCACGTCGAAATTCAATGGCGTTTACTTTAATCTGATAATGAAATAAATCAAATATTATGAGTCGTGCAGCAATTTTTTTTTCTTTTTCTTTTGAATTGTTTGTTTGTTTGCTTTTTTTGGATAAAAGCCTTAAACTTCTGATCTTACTAAGAACATTGTCATAAGTTTTTTTTTTTTATCAGTCTTGAACTTTCTTTTTTTTTTAAAGTGTAAACACATCGTATAACACACGTGCACTGGTGGGTTGGGGAGGGGGAAATCCCGCCCTACCATCTTTAGTGACCAAAATCTACGTGTACATAAAATTAATAAATTTATTGGTTTTACTTTGTAGGACATTGCATTAGTTTCACATTAAGTTGAGCTGAATTAAGTTGAAAACTTTTTTTTATAAAACTATAAAGCCCGAGAGCTTCTACGCTTTCCCCGTTTATCTCCAATCATAAACCGTCCCCTTTGGACAATTTTTTTTGTTCAAGATTCTCATATCCGCTACTGATATGTGTCCATGCATGCGTACTAATGCATATTCAATTGATTTCGATGAGGGATTGGTGGATTTTTGTGAATTAGATTTAGAATTCTGGCCCTGGAATGGTTGAAAAAATTACTAATTCCAGTGACGTATCATCTTTTTCGAAAGGAAGGGGGGGGTCAGCCAGAAAAAAAATATTCGCCCGAAAAAAACTTGGGAAGCCAAAAAAAATTGTCCACTCCAAGCCCGAAAAACCTCTATACTTCAACAAAAAGTGGGGTGGGGCTGTACTTTCAACATTACATTTTCTATTGTAAAGTTATGTCTGGGAAAAAAGGGGGGGGGCTTATATTTTCTGCCTGTAATTCTTCCTAATCAAACAGGACCCACCCCCCTCTTAAAAACACGGTCATCAGCATTCATTTTATACCAGATATACAGCTTTGAGATAATGTAAATGTATTTTTACATTAGGTAATGCACTTTTGGAATCAACATGATAAAGAGTTAACACAATATAAAGATATTTTAAGGTCACATAAGAAAGAGTTGACATAACGTAATTATATATCCACATCACGGAATTGAGTTCTGACATAATGTGATAAAGTGTTGATATAATATAAAGATATGTTCACATAATGTCATACACTTTTTACACCACGTAATAAAGCACTGACATAAAGGTAGGATGTGTTCACCTGACATCATGATGCTCCCGCCGTAAAATAAAGATAAACCCATATCATGTAATAATGCTTTGATATAAAAGAAATATACACTCTTAAAAAGGAATGGATTTTTGACTTCATGTAATGATAAGTTTAATTATAAAACACAATTCACTTGACCTAATGCAATTTTGACCTCACATATTAAAGAAATGAAATGATGTAAAGAAATATTCATTTCACGTAATAAAGTTTTAACACAATGTAAACACATTATCACTTCACATAATGAATTTTCGACTTCAAGTTATGAAGTGCTGGCATAATGAAAGGATGTATTTACTTCATGTTTTGCAGCATTGACATGATGTAAAGATATATTTACATAATCTCATAAAAAATTGACATAACGTAAAGATATGTTCACATCACGTAATGATAAATTGACATAATAAATGCATAGTTGTATGCTATAAGGCAGTGTTGGCGTTCCATAACATATGCATAATTGCATATCAGTCCTGACACCTACTGCTTTACATCTTCGCTAGCCAAGGGTTTCTGATACGCTACCCTCCTCATAAACCCTTGGCCTACGGTGTTCATAGAAATGGGGAATTTTTTCCAGAGTTCTAATTGGATTTCAGTACACCCAGGTCGACCAATCAGCAATTGTTTTTTGTAAATGACGAAATTTGCGTTCTGGGTACATCTTCACTCTTTAATCTCGGAAATGAAAAACGCAAGTAAACAATGATCCGTAAGATAACATTCAATTCTATGAATAGCCATGGTGTCATCCAATATCTCCTAAATATGTGATTAAGAATCTATATTGAAGCTTCAGATTTGTTCTATAAATAATGAATAAATATAACTCAATTATTGCTTCTTGATTATTCTTTTAAAAACTTTGATTTAATTTTTTTTTTAACACGTGTCTTTATTTCTGGCGATGACGCAATCTGTGTGTACCTTATAGATTCGAGATCACGTGACTGAAAACAATCCCGTCTTTTGACTTCATCGTAGGCCAAGGGTTTATGAGGAGAGTAGCGTATCAGAAACCCTTGGCTAGCGAAGATGACTGCTTTAATGACTTGAATAGTTAATTATGTTCCCCAAACGAAGTTGGGGAACATATTGTTTTTACTCTGTTTCTTATTATGTTCCCCAAACGAAGTTGGGGAACATATTGTTTTTACTCTGTTTCTTATTATTATTATTATGTCGCCCCGAACGAAGTCGGGGACGACATATTGATATTGTACGCATGTTTTTTTTATCCAGGCTGTTTCTCGGAGATGGCTGGGACAATCTTCCTGAAACTTTCCTTCAAGGACGATCACTGGTTGTAGTTGTGCAGTGAGGTCGTTCAGTTCCAATATGTCTACCGTTGCCATGGAAACCTGTAAAAAGCGACAAATTTTGTCCGAGAGTGTTCTCTCTGGTCCCTTAAACGTTCGTCATGAAACTTTTCTTATTTTAATGATTAGTATCTGTAGTTCTGCAACTCGTATTTAAAATTTTCATATAATCGATTATTGCCATGGAAACCAGGTGAAAGTTAAAATTCTTTAATTTCGATTTTCTCAATAACTACTCAGGCAATCGTTTTGAAACTTTCAATGTTTATTCCTTGCAATGTGTCAAAGTGATTTCTACTTTCAAAATAATTGTAATGAGTCGCTCACGGTTGCCATAGAAACGAAACAGAAAAAAAGATTCAGATGTACACATGTGTTCTCCAAGGACTAGGTCAAAGGGTCAAAGTTCGTCGTATCCAATAAAAGTTCTTTTCACAAGGATTACATATTTGAAATACGAAAGCCCTAGTACTTACCGTTCAAACGTTATGGCTATTTACTATGTTCAAGACGCCCCCCCCCCCTCTTTTTATGAAGCACACAGCCAAGTAGAATACACAAATATAACATATACAACTTACAAGTAACTTTTTAAAATCTTCATTCATAAAATTCAGTTCCCGTCATGTGATATTTTGCCATCATTCATTCTCCTTCTGTTTTGTCTCTTGAATTTATAAATATTTTATTTTATCTATATAAAAAAAAATAACGATTGT